TTACTCATCTGCAACTATGATCACCCCATGAACCACTCTTACAGGTCTGTATTTTTTAACAGCCCACCCACCCATCCCCCCTCTTAATATGCCTAATGCTTCCTGGACTGAAATATTGAAAATAAATCACAAAACCTGTTACTTCCCTTCCTCACCAATTTGATGCTGAGCTATAAGAAGTAACATATTCAACATTTGAAATCACACTTTGGAGAAATAGAGATATAATGACATTGTTGCCAGGTGAAGTCTTGGTACTTTATAAAGGTTTTTTTTAAGGACAAGCTCCCCCTCTAGTGGCCGTTGTTGTTCTGCACTGTTGCTCCTACTATGTTCTAACCTGAGATAGCTTGTTCAAGTAAAAACAAACTAAGTCGAAACATTTGAGGAAAAATATTTAAATGATTTCACACACAAAAAAAACCCATCTGCTGTTCGAACGGTGGTCGTGGTACAACGTGGCACTGACTTTAGTATAAGTGTAGCAATGATTATTATGCTTATATTTTAATTATCCTGTGCAGTGACCATAATCCCAGCCTGGATATCTTTTGTTTGCATCCTACCCTCAAGTAACCAAATCCTGTTCACACCTGATGTAGAAAACCAGATTGCCATCTGCAGTAACCAAAGCAGTTTTTCCATCTACCCCATTCAAGATGAATTTCACGCTTCCTTCTTCTTCCCTCCTATGTTATTTAAACTCCCTCTCCATTAAAAAGAAACACTTAGTCATAAAAATGGCACAGAGTTGGATGGTGTTCCTTCTTTTTGCAGGGTGTAGTAAAGCGCTGGAGAATACGCAGGCCTCGACTGTGTCTCAGAAATGTACAGAGGATACCAACACTTTTCTCTGGGAAATTACCCAGGACAGGCCGAAGGAATATGCTGTTCAAAGTAAGTGTTGCTGCCTTTGTATTTCTGTATGTTTAATTGTAAAGTCACATTTGCATTGAGTCTTAGGCAGTGGATGTTCTGGTGAATTTAAACCACAAGGGCCAGCTTTTCTTTGAGCTGGGCCAGCTACATTACTTTTGAAAATAAGTGTTAATTCAAGCCATGGAGTGGATAAATACAAGCCATCTAGAAAACCTTTATCAAACAGCCAACAACATAATAGTAAGTAAAATACAAGTCAACTGACTCATATGTACATCCGAAAGAAAAAATGTGCTTTGAAATAACCGTAATTACGAATATTTATACTACAAACTTAGAAAAGAGAATACACAAGTGTTGATGTACAGTATGTATCCAACACATGGCCTTGCAGTTATTTATTTATCTCAACTATGCCAAGGATATTCAAAGGATTACTGACACTTGTAAATATGATGATGGTGAAAGAGTATGTATTTAAGAAAAAAAGAATTCTGTTGTTGTCGATTTCTATACATTTTTTTAATTATAAAATAAAGTCTATTATTATTACTATCATGACCCATCATACAACACAGCTTGTAATCTTACCTGTTTCAATCTTATGAATTTCCCAACGGGAATTGATTAAGGTTTATTTTAATTTATCATAAACCAAAACAAGAAACTAGGTAAAGGTGGAAGAAGTAGGCAACTCGGATCTCGTAATTAAGTGAAAGCAGAAGTATCAGTGTAGGAATACTCAGTAACAAGTACAAGTTCTTCATTCAAAATCGTACTAAAGTAAAAGTACAAACAAGTATTATTATCAAAATATACTTAAAGACCAAAAGTAAAAATGACTCATTATGCAAATTGATTATATTTTACATCATTAAACTAAATCTGCTAAGTAACTAAAGGTATCAAATAAATGTAGTGGAGTAAAAGTACACGATTTAGCTTTTAATTGTTGTGGGTAAAAGTAGCAAACAATTTAAATAGGCCTACTCGTGTGAAGTACAAATCCCTCAAAATGTTACTTAAGTACAGTACTTGAGTATATCTACTTAGTTACTTTACACCCTGGAACAAGCAGAACCACTGCTCGGGCCTATTCACAAAATACAACTAGCAACAGGTGAAAAAACAACCTCAAGGTACATTTATGTAAAGAACATCATTATAATTACACAACAGCGTCAGTGTAGTGAAATGCATATACATATCATTATCTCACCATTAAAACTAGTAGCTGATAGATGTATTAGTATAAAGTATATTAGACTCAACTTTGATGCCAGTCCTCTTTTCATTCATTTCGATGAAGGCATCTAACTGCTAACAAGTCTCACACGGCTAGCTATCAACAAACACTGAAAAACAAGCTATTGTTCGATAAATATAGAATACATATTTTAGTTTGTTGAATGGGCGAACATGGCAAGTTTAAATGTTTGCTTATGAGTTGCTTTTCTACTTCTCACTCACAGTTTTACAGTTTACAGTGGCATTGGTGACCGATTTGTTTGACACTTCACCTGTCCGGTCTTTAGGTGGGGTAGCGGCGCCATGTTTGGCCATTGTAATACACAAGGGCGCTGTTTCACTCATTTGAGACAACAAGGGACAAAAACATTTTTTAAATGATTTGTATTTACAGTTTTTTATTTAAGTGCAATACGCAATATAAATATGTTAGAGCTTTAAAGGGAATTTTGAAGAGTCAAAAAATGATTATTCTTGAATCAAGGAAGCTGATAATTATGTGCATCAACAATCAATCATTAATGATACATGCTTTGTTTTATGAATTAAGTGCTTCTTTTTACATGAAAGGACTGTGGAGGTCGCTGTTTTTCTTCTTTGTATTAAGTTGTGTTTTTTGGTGATGCTTGTGTATGTTTTATCAGTGTACGATGCATTTGGAAAGATGGGCAGCAATGTAAAAGGAGGCAATGCAAACCGGCCTGGCCTGCTGCAGCAGTGTCGCTCTGCACATGGGCCCTCTTTCTCTGCACACTACTGTGAGGTGTTCCTTAAACAGGTAACAACAAACAATGTAAAAAAACATCCTGACATTTGTTATAGATCCTGAACTGAGTTGTTTTTACTATAGGGAACGGTCCAGTACTTTGTGGGTATTTGTGTTCCTGAATCCTGTGGAGAAGAAGATGTGGAAATTCTGGTGCTGGACGGTCAGTGATTTCAAAATAGGTTTTCTCTGGACAAAGCATTCTGTCATTCCAATACATTTTTTGTTTCACCCTTTTTTTTTAAACAGGGAGTCTTCAGTTTGGTCAGACGTCCCTCATTCCTCCTTTACCTCACATCCTGGTCAATCAGTCCACTCAGGAGATGATCATGACCCACTGCTTGTCCGCGATTGCACCCGGTGCATTAGATGCCATCTCTCTGTAAGCATTTTATTGGACATGTTTTTTTTCTTTAAAAAACCTTCCCTTCTGTCTCCCAGGGGTATTAATTACTAAACATCACTCAATGATCAACGATCGATTATCTCGGTAAAGTAGTGTATCAAGTGTATCATCTTTAAGATATGAAACGCATAATGAAAACAAACATGTGCATTTAAACATAGATAAATATGATAAATTTGGCCGTTTATATAGCCTATGTATTTCCTTGACACAAAATATTTGTTTGTAATGTCTGAAGGAGTCAAGAACAAACGTCATGTTGTCTTTTGTGTTGATATAATTATAGCTGATAGTGTTGAATAGGCACATGATATCGTTTCATATAAATCGCATGCCCCCAAATGGAATCTATCAAAATCGTATCAGGGCCGATGTTGTGTTATCAGCTAATTATTATTTTGTTGTCCAAGTAGTGATGTGATTTACACCCCTTCTATACCTATGTGTGATAAACTGAACCACAGAAGTTAAGTGAGATTTCAAGACTTACCTTTTCGCTCCTGCAGGTTTGTTTGTTGTGTAATGGTAGCCATCCCTCTTGCGGCTACCCTGTTAACGGCTATAATAAAGTGGCAAAGAAACAGAGAGGTCAGGCCATCAGCGCAGACTTCCTGTTCAAACACAGGCCTCAACCTTTATGGGACCATGAAGACCAATGGCTCCTACAGTAGTGATATCAATCATGACACGGAGGAAAATAGTAGTAGTAAGTACATTTTGTATTATGTGCAGATGATATGTAAATTATTAACCCCTTGAGAATGACCTTCTCATTTCCAAGTGGGAAAGAAGTCATGAAAAAATGTGTCGAAGAGAAATTATCTGAGTGATTAAGGAAAACTATTCCAGTCTGATAGTTGCAAAAATATTGTTTACCTGAAAAAATATTTATTTGTCTTTCCTAGGCAGCACCAGCATCACATCCCGAAGCTTTTTGTACCGGTGTCTTCAGGCGTTCTCCATACAGAACACCAGGCAGGGAGTCCTGAGCACCTCCTCATCCGTCCCAGGAGGAGGCTACTCCTCCCTGAACGGCATCCGCGTTCTCAGCCTGTTATGGATCATATGTGGACACTCTGCTCAGTTCCCTGTTATAAACAATCTGGGTACGATGACACTCACTGTCAGTGGTGGAATGTAACAAAGTACATTTACTCGTACTTGAGTGTTTTCATGATACAGTATGCTACATAATACTTGTATTTAACTTAATTAGAAAACCAATATTATACTTTTTACTCCACTACATTTATCTGTCAGTTATAGTTACAAGTAACTTTACAGATTCAACCAATAAGCTAGAATAACATTAATTATCTAATAAATGGACTATGATATACAGCAGCTGTTTACAAAGCAATTAAAATAAGCTCCACATTTAACAGTTGTGATTAACACATCAGTTACCATAATCCAGTTATTAAACATTACACATTGGGTACTTTTACATTTTCCACTAAGTACATTTTAGAGCCAATTCTTGTGTATTTTACTTAAGTAGGATTTTGAATGTTGGATTTTTACATCTAACAAAGTATTTCTACAATTTAGTTTTGCTACTTTTACTTAAGCAACAAGTCTGAGTTTATCTTCCAACACTGCTCCATGTCACAGTCTCATTCAGTATACAAGTCATTCAGTCACCTAAATATTATTATTGTGAAAAACATTATATTTTTTCCAGATAACTACAAAAACTGGAGGACAACAGTTGAAAGCAACCCTCTGCATGTGCTTACCATCAGCGGGCCCGTTTTTCTAGCTGTGGACACCTTTTTACTGCTAGGGTAAGACTGAAACAACATTTCATTTTGTTTAAAACCATACTTTATCTGTACAAATAAAACACTGAGTTTTGAGACCCAACGATCATTGTCTTACATGTAGTGCCGTTTATCAACTTAGATTTGCCATGAGTAGATGGACACTTCTAGTACTTTGTGTGATATTGTAGAGAGTAAATCATTCCTACAATAGGCTGTTGAAAACAAGATCTCTGGATTAGCTTGAAAAACAGGGTCATAATATCTGGAAGTACACCATGCTATTACATTGTTCAAATGTGAAACTTACATCAACACAATATAGATTGATAAATAGCACTGCAAGTACTGTTAGAGAGTTAAATATTAATTTTAGTTTTGCAGTGAACTGTCCATTTAACTTATCAGTTTTTAGCCGTTTCTAAAGCAGCTTTTGTGTTGCAGGGGTCTGCTTAGTGCGAGGTCTCTGCTGGGCTCCATAAACAAGGCTGATGACAATTTGAGTCCGAGTTTGGTAGCTAACTACCTCCTCAGGAGGATTACAAGGTACTACATGTTGATCATATCACCAAAAGTTATGAATATCTATGTGTCATTCTTTACTTCTAAACAGATTTGAAAGCTCTTCTTTGTATATGAGAAGTTACATAAGTGTGAAAGCTCTTTGTCTTTTCTACAGGATTCAACCACTGCATATGTTTGTTATGTGTCTAACGATTGGCCTCATCTCACTGATCCAGTGGGGACCCTACTGGTTCCCATTTATAGATACACTGATGGATTGTAAGACATACTGGTGGGCTAACTTATTTTTGATAAGCAATCTTCTTCCAGTCCATGAAATAGTAAGTAGTAAATAGATTATTTCCTATTCTGAAATGTTTATATACTTACCTGTTTCTTTATCTGATTTCCTCATCTCTCCTCAGTGTATCCCTTGGTCATGGTACCTGTCTCTGGACTTCCAGTGTTATGCCACCACTCCTCTGTTGGTCTATTTTTACAGACTGTATGTCCTTGATTTCTACTTTTGGCAAACTCCCCTTTTGAATCATGGCTGACTTATAACAGCACTACTCCTGTAATCTTATTCCTCTATCCTGTCTTTTGTTGATCAGAAACAGAGGTGTGTTTATAGTTGTTGCTGGAGGTCTTCTGCTGATGACCACTGTGGCCGGAGCTGTTGTAACTGCACTCATGCATCTGCCTGTCTTTCAGCCATCTACCCTGTAAGATCTAGTGATGGTGATATGCAAACAGTTATACAAGTGGAGGCTAACCAGCGGATAAAGTACATTCTTTAAAATTGTGTTAATTCTCTACAATGTTTCTTTGTCTATTTTGCAGGACGTCTGAGTATTACGTCTTATATTACTATGTCAAACCGTACACAAGGTATGGGCCATATTTAATAGGGATCTTGGCTGGAATATATTTGACAACAAAGAAAGACCCACTGTTAAAACATAAGGTGAGAACACCCTGCCAGACAGCTTATTTTCATTAAGAAATGAACACATTTTAAAGTATTTTGAGAGGTTATCAGGCCAAAGAGACACAGTGATAGGGAACTAATTACTTGGCCCTTTAGTTATATGTTTTAAATTGCTTATCTACTCCTCTCATCCCCCTAATATTCTCCTTGCATGTGACAGCTTGCCCTTTCTTTGTGCTCGGGCTTTGACCACAGCCGTTTCAAGATATGAATATGGGTATGATATGGGCTCTGCTTGCCAGAAGGCCGAGTGGTTCACACTCACGTTCAGAACACTAGACATGACTTGTAGTATCTTGCCATAGAATGTTAATTATCCTCTCAGGGTTAGTTAATTATCTGGGACTAAGTGGGAGGGTAAGGGTTAACTCACATGCACATCACACTCATCTCCTTATCGTGTCTTTATGTTGTGTCTTTTCAGTGGCAGGCAGCACTTGGTTGGATCTTATGTATGTCAGTCATGGCTGCGGTGATTGGATTGTCTTACGTCCTCAAGGAGACCCCAGCCTCGCCCTCTGTGCCCCACGCCCTCTACCAGGGTCTGCACAGGCCACTCTGGGCTCTGGCTGTGACCTGGATCATACTAACCTGTGAGGATGGGTATGGAGGTAAACAAAGGGCACTCATTTTAATACATTTGTATTTTAAATATGCATCTTAACAAATGATTGAATACACTACTATACATATTACAGTATCTTGCTTCATAATGTCATTCTTCAAAAGTATAGTATCAATGGCAATATGAGAAACATACTGTATACTGCTCTATTTTTGGCAATTGTTATTAAAGCAAAAAAAATGGTCCTATAATGAACTGGTACGTTTTTCCTACTTGGCTGGTGATGCTCCAAACAACATTTGGGTCCATTCTATTTAAAAGACGATGATAAATAACAGAACTATAAGAAAAGGAAAACATGGATTTTGGGGATATGTGCCTTTGCATCATGCAAATGAAGTCCCAAATAAATGACCTAATCAAAAATGTAAAAACAATGCTCCCTTTTTCTTTATTTCCTGCTCTTTCCAGGTTTGATCAAAAGCCTCTTGTCCCTGGGTTTCTGGGTTCCTCTTTCCAACCTTAGTTTTGCCTGCTATCTGACACATCCCATCTTCATAATCCTTTACATTGGCCTGCAAGAGACCCCAATCCACTACACAGACATAAACTTTGTAAGTCAGCACCTTTTTATTGAGTTTCACGAAGCGACCTTTTAAGATTATACCTTTTTATATTTGTATTTTCGTATCCTTTTCTAAGTTAATGTACTACATTTCTCCCATCTTCTTTAGATGTACCTGTTCTTTGGACACCTGGTGCTCACGCTGGTGTTCAGCTATGTGTTTACCCTGCTGGTTGAGAAGCCATACCTCCTCCTAAAATGGAGAGGTACATAAAGAACACAAAACACTCTATCCAGCTAACACCTCTAATCTTATGTGTTCGTTTGTTGTGCCTTGTAAGTTATTTTAGTTTCTTGATCAAGTAACTTTTTGTAGAAAGATCACACAAAATTGTAACTCAAAAGTATTAATTCAATTGGTCTTTAAGAAAAAAAAGGTTACTATTTAGGATAAGTGGCAATTATGCTATTATTTACTGTGTTTCCACGTAGTATACATTTTATATTGAAGCTATTAAAAGAGGAGAGGGCTTGGACTACGGAAACATACTTTAAGTGTAGCTCTCGTGCCAAGAAAAGGCTTGTGTGACGCAAAGTTCATCATATTCCCCCGGCCATTCGACCCCCTCTGAAACTGGACTTGGACATTGCACTTTCCATGGCAGTGACTTCGAAAGTGACACTGACTCAGCTGGTGAGATCATAACAAAGGTTTTCAGTTACTTATGACGCATAAATGGCAAGCTACATTTCCATCGTAGCACTTGCAATATGCTTGGTATGCGCTCTGTGTTACATTGCATTAAGATGAGTAACGCTTTCTGAACAGCCTCAAAGGAATACCTTGATCCTTTGCCACTGTTGATCCCTGCTGCTCACTCAGAAACTTAACTCCTCATGTGGAGATTTTCACAGGAGCTATGTTATAAAATCAGAAGTTTATTTTTATTTTTTAAACAACACTATTTCTCTGAGAATCTTAGTCCAATGATGACAGTTTCAGCATTTAATGTTCTTAATTAAATGGTGTTTTAGTTCAATTTTAGGCAAGACCCTGCGTTAAGTGTATGATAAGATCCAAACATGGCTACCTATTTATTTATTTTTAATATAGTGATCTCATATCAAACATTTTCTGGCTACATTACAGGAAATACTGAGCATGGCTGTTATAAGTGTTGATTTCATATACTGTAAGTTCTATATTGTGTAACTCCATATGTAAATGTATTTAACCTTGAATATATTGTTCACATCACATCATTGATGGTTTTGTGTCCTCATTATCTGATGTTGTGCTCTTAAGGTAAATAAAACCTTTCATAATGTGTGTGTATTGTATCATTGTGACCCTTTGTAGTGTGTGTGTTTCCAACAACTTTTTGTGGGAGGCGATTTACACATAAAGCCATGGCCCTTTGATATATTTACTTTATTTAATTTGTATTTATATGTTTGAATGTCTTTTCAAATGTTTTCTCATGTCTTTTGTAAGGACCGCTTCTTGTTTATTTTTTGGATGAAATATCTGAAAGCATTATGTTAAATTATTTATTGGTAGAATATGATCCTGGCATTGTTGGATCTTGTTTTTCTGTAGCTGTGTTATTGTTTTTCCATCTAAAAATCTATTAGCAGCTATAAACATCCAGCCCCCCCTCCTGTGCTCCTGTGCTGTGCGTTATTGTTGGTCAGTAGTTATGTTAATGTTAGCTAACGTCAGTCACATCACAACATTGTAAAGTTAGCAATCATATATCAGGCTATAACTAAAGTAGTATTGATAATATAGTAACGTTACTGGCAGGACTGTTGATACTGATCCATAACAGAAACTAATGCGCAAGTATCAGCCGTATCTCGCGTTACCTAATGCAACTCCACACTCTTACGGTGCTGTGTACCGGAGGGGAGACGCAAGATACGGCTGATACTTGACGATCTGGCGGAGAAAGGTTGTGGAGCCTCCGTTGATATGCCGTTGTAAATGGCTTGATGG